GGTTTAGGGTTTAGGGGTTTAGTACGGCGCTTCCTGGGTTACAGGGTCTCCGGATTCGGGTGTAGGGTTTATGGGGCTCTTGGGGTTTGATAGAGAACTTGGTTGAGGGTTCTGAATGTGCGGTTCTGGGATATGTGGGCCTGGGATCTGTGGGGCTTCGGGAGGTTGGGGTCTAGACGAGGTTCTCCATGCTATGTAGCAGAGTGACTAAGATGAAAGAAGAGCTCAATGTATCTCAAACTGCCTAGAACTCGCGAAACTACGTCACAAGTTACTCTGCTTCAACCCCCAAACCATAAGAACATGCCTGTGCGAGTGTGTACATATACAATGTGTATGTATGTCTGCGTATGAACCTGTATGTATAGTTACATAAATGTCTGTGTATGTGAATCTATATATTTATATTTATGTATTTATATACCTATATAAAAATACACAGATGTGAACGTTTTCTACATAGGGTTTCGGATGTTGTTCGTTCCTGGCAACCGTGTAACCGACTCTTTGAAGTTTCAGGCTCTGCTGCACGGAGCCTTTGGTGGAGGTCGGAGTAATTACCAATAGTATCCCGTTACGGGTAGTTCTCAAATTTAGAGAGAACTACCCTTCTAGTCTCTACATGACCATACAACATACCCCAGTAATAACAGTATCGCGTTACAGTCCTTGTATGATCAGTCTAAAACATTCTCCAAAAACCTAAAACTGCTAAGGCTCATTTATTATTATAATCATGCTGGATCATTTACCAAAACCCTAATATAAGGCTCCAATACCTCAGCCCTAAGACCTAAACCCTAAACCCAAAGCCTGTTCTAGTCGGCAAGGACCCGTATATCATTATTATTGTAATTATGTATATGATTATTATTACTATTATTATTATTAGTTATTGTCTATTTTTATTTTGATCATTATCGTCGGACCTCTCTCGCTTCCGGGGCGCCCCATCCGATTCTTTGCCACGGCGACCGCCGAACCCATGATCTCCTGCGCTGCGCTTGGGGTCTTAGGTTTAGGGCTTCGGGGCTCGGGGTCTTAGGGTTTAGGGTCTTAGAGCTCCCGGGGTTTAGGTTTTTGGGGTTCAGGGTTTTAGGGGTTCGGGGATTAGGGTCTCAGGGTTTCGGGGTTTAGGGTCTTAGGGTTCAGCGGTTTAGGATCTCGGGGTTTAGGGTCTTAGGGTTTCGGGGTTTAGGGTCTTAGGGTTCATGGTCTGAGGGTTTAGGGTCTTTGGGTTTAGGGTCTTATGTAGGGTTTCGGGGTTTAGGGTTCAGGGGTGTCGGTTTTCGGGTTCAGAGTTTAGGGGTTTAGGGTTTCAGGTTTGGGTTTAGGGCTTAGGGCTTCGGGTTCACTGCTTCAGGAGGGTTTATGCTGCTGCGGCCTTAACAAAGACAAAGGGTTCCTTTTCAGGGCTACACTAACAGTTGGGAGTTCTGGAGTTCTGGCTTTCACGTTTAAGGCTTCCTAAGACGATCCGAATCGAGGGCTTTGGGGCTGATCGGGCTTAGAAGGATAATTATTCGGGGTGCAGGGCCGAGGATTTCTGGATGCTGTTTCCCTTTCATGAGTTTGGTGGGAGGGTTTAGGGTTTAGGGTTTGTAGGGCGATCTGAAAGGGCGTACTATAGGGCTGTATATACCATAATGCCAACCTCAGCCTAAAACGCAGCAGAACGCAAAAAGACTAAAGCCGGAAACCTCGCGAACCCTAAACTTTGAGTCTTGGGGCCTCTAGGGCTTCGGGAGATTCGGACTTCGTCCGCGAGACCTCTGCCTCCCGTCGAATCCGTCGAGACGGTTCTGGGTTTAGGGTTTGAAGTAGGGTTTACGAGTTTAGGGTTATTGTCATCCTCATTTTGTGATTGCCATGCTGCTAGGTCGGTTGTGTAAGTCTGCACGTTCCCAGTCTGCCGTTCCCAGAGCTAAGGACCCCAAACCTACACTCCTAAACCCGAAACGAGCCTATAGCCTATGAAGGTTCTACAAACAGATGGGTATTTCCGAGAATAGGGGACCCTAATATAGTACTGTACCCTAAATAATAGGACCCTTATTATAAGGACCCTAAAAGAAGATACCCTAATTTTTGGAAACTCCCAGAGGTAAAGCTTACCACAAGTAAGAGCTCCAGGGATTTCTGAGCGGCCCAGGGGCCTCCACGATGAATCCGGAGCCACCCACCGAGAGCTGCGTGATGGCCTGGCAGAGGAGTACCCAGACCCCCAAAAGGATCTAAAAAATAGATCCCCTAATTAGGGACCCTAACTACTACAGTAAAGGGTACTTTATAGGAACCCCCCTTAGGGGATCTATTTTTTAGATCCTTTTGGGGGTCCGGGTACCGGCTTAGGGCTGAGGGTCGGGAGCCGCCATCGATGATAGATTTTAGGGCTTAGGCTTTAGGGCGTGGACTTTGGTGCGGAGCTTTCAATCGTGTCTGTTTCTGCCGACCCCAAAAATGCATCAACCAGTTCAAACATTCCGACACCCTGCTGCCTAATCAGACGCCGAACGAAGGGCTGCAGCAAGGGGACCAAAAAAATTGGGTTTTGGACAGCAGTATGAGGAACTCAAAAAGCGATATTGGTGACTATTCCGACCCGGGTCACAAACAGAAGCGTCAATCCTGCCTTCTGCACCACGTAGTTCGCCTCAGGGTGTTTGATGGCCTGCCACGAAATGCAAACAGGGGGTGCCGCGGGTGTCTCAGGGGTTGCGACCTGGGCTTTGAAGTTTATGATGGATAACACATTTGTAGTAAAACACATCTCTGTATTTTCTTATTTAAACACGCTGTTGTTTACTACAGCGGCAAAGTCATTGAACCAGATGGCTAGCTCTTGAGGCTCACCATAATACAACCTGAGGGTCACTGCTGCAAAGGGTTTCAAGGTTCGCTACTACTGTATAGGGGTCTAATCAGCTATAAAATGTACGAGTAAAGCCAACTCTGCTTATACAGGGGCTATAAGGAGGTACAAAGAATCAATGAATACAACCTCTTATTAGTTTCTGCAGACACCCTCAATATAACCCCGCTGTCTGCTCCTGTCCTGCATGCCGACTCCCTCGAACCATCCAACGAACGCTTTCAAATATCAGAGCACTGGACACAAGGCCGTGTCCAGTGCCCGCGTGACCTCAACCCAAACCCTACCTCAAACAAAGCTCAGAGTCAAGCCTTAACCCAAAACCCTGAACCCTTAAGATCTCAAACCTAAAGCCCCCCATATACCCTAAACCCTACACCCTAAACCCCCAACCCTAAACCCTAAACCCTAAACCGGGGTTTAGGGTTTAGGGTTTACAACGATGAAAGACACTGCCTCGAGAATGTGACCGGAGAGCTCAGCAGCGATGGCGGCGGTCTCGCGGCCGGCGACCTCCAGCGCCTCCCGAAACGGTTTAGGGTTTAGGGTTTAAGGTTTGGGGATCTTCTCTAGGACTCCTTCAGGGTTTGAGGTTTAGGGAACTTCTCTAGGACTCCTTTACAGTTTAAGGGAACTTCTCTAGGGCTCCTTTAGGGTTTACGGTTTAGGGAACTTCCTTAGGGCTCGGGGTTTGGGGCATAAGGCAAAGGGTTTAGGGCTGTCTTATGGGTATAGGGCTGAAGATGTAGGGTTTCGTGTAGAGGGTTTCATATAGGGATCGGGTGTAGGGCTTGGAGAGTATAGGGTTGAGGGTTTAACCAGGTTTAGAGTTCAGATTCGTGTGGAAAGAGTTCTGTTAACAAGAAGGTTTTAGCTATCGTTCGTTCTTTTGGGGGTGCGCAGGGTCTTATATAGTGAACCCCAGAAAGTTGGAACATGGGTTTAGGAGGATAGGTGCTAGGATTCCCTATACTTTACCTTTCGGGCTGAGGACAATGATGTTCCAACTTTCTGGCTTCTACCGCAGCGTCTTATAGGGTTTTACGACGGGGTCCTTGGTTGCTAAAGCTCTTCTACAAAGGCAAAATGCATGTTTGCGTGGCATGGCGGGGGAGGCGGGGAAGTGTAGGGGTAGGGCATAAGGCTGAACCGTTTTTGAAGGATTTGAGGCTTCCAGGGGGCAGAAGCAAACTCATTGAGCCTTGCGCAGTAGGGGTTTCGCAGATTCCTTACTCAGCTGCTACTCAGGGTCTTCTAAACCCTAAACCCCCAAACCTTTTAGGGAGAGGAGGAGGAGGAGGAGAAGTGAGAGGGGTAGGGGGCTGAATGACCCCGAGCCTCGGCTCTCCTATTTGACAACTGTTGCCTGTATCACTAAGTGGTCTGCCATGTTCGAGTGCTTTTACTCCACTTCCACTCCACCCGACAGACCCCTCCCTCGGCACATCCCGTTCCGGCTTTTTTGGAAAAGGAGCAGAGGGACCGGGAATCTAAACTTCCCCTAAGGCTCCATGTACCCATATAGTAGATACTTAAGCCTTAGAGTACCTATATAGAGACCCCTTTAAGGCCTAAGTATCTACTATAAAGGTCCATGGAGCCTTTGGGTTCAGGATGTAAGAATAAGGCGCTATGGCGAAGGTCGAACTTCTGTGAAGGCCCAGGTGTGGGCCTTCTGAACCAGCCGGCAGCCCTTCTTGTCCTCGCAAGGAAGTCTTGCGTTTGAAAGCGGGGGGGTCTAAGGAGCGAGGGTTTGTTTTGTAAAAGGATTCAGGGTACAGGATTTTAGGGTAGGGTTTAGGGTTTAGGGCTTAGGGTTTAGGGTTTAGGATTCAGGGTACAGGATTTAGGGCAGGAGTGAATCCAGCTTTCAGAACCAAAGTCTACCCCCCAAGACCCTAAGCCCCAAACCCATGATCCCTAAACCCCAAAGCACAAACCCTAAACCCTAAAAATCCTAAAGCCTAAACCCTAAAAACCCTAAACCCTAAACCCTAAAAACCCTAAACCCTAAAACCCTCTAAGCCTCCCAAGCCCACAACAACCCTGAGCTCCTGGGACAGCGCCCAAACGTGGCCCTGCAGCCTTGGCTCTGTCAGGAGGAGACGAGGGAGGCTCGTTCTGATAAGGGCCATTTGTTCTGTCTGCTTGGGGTTTAGGGTTACCGGGTTTAGGGTTTAGGGTATAGGGTATAGGGTTTAGGGTTTAGGGTATAGCAAGGACCATGTATTCTGTCTGCTCGGGGTTTAGGGTTTAGGGTATAGCAAGGACCAATTATTCTGTCTGCTTGGGGTTTAGGCTGTAGGTTTTAGGGTATAGCAAGGACCATCTACTCTGTCTGTTTAGGGCTTAGGGTTTAGGGTATAAGGCTTAGGGTGTGTGTTGGTTTCAACTGCAATGCTGCGTGAGTGTCTGATTGAGTGTAGTAGGACACCCTCAACCGTGAACCTCGAGACCCTAAACCCTAAACCCTAAACCCTAAACCCTAAACCCAATTTCTCCAAGACCTGCATCACACAGCCGGCCCTAGAGCCCCAGCCCGAAATCTTAAACCCCAAAGCCCTGAACTTCAGACCCCTGTCATAAGGGCCCAGGGTGCTGCGCCAGCTCCTCCCCTCTTTCGAGCCTCGGAAGTCGGTCCCAAGAAACGCAGGGCTGGCTGGGGTCTCGTGGGCTTGGGGCCTTTGATGCTTACAAGTTTTGGGGTTTTGGCCTTCGTTGTCTTTGCATTTCTAGTACGATTTTTGGGATGCAGGCTACCGATTATAGGATCTGACGCTCCAGTGCCCTTCGATCATGCCTCACGTAAAGGAACTGGTCTCTCTGGGCATTGATCTCTGAGTATCTACTCCCTAAACCCTAAACCCTAAACCCTAAACCCTGAATTCAGGGCCCCGAAAGGCGGATCAAATCTCAAAAGCGCCGAAGCCCACTCCAGGACCGCTGACTAGCATAATGTAAGGGCCTTGTTAATGTGAATAGGGTGTCGGGGTATATTATACTAAGGAACCCCAAGGAACAATATGGGTAATTATTGAGGCTTCTAGATTAGGGAAGGAACTGTTGCGGCTCTTCCAAGTTCCCCGAGATGCTGAAACGGAACAGTTATGACACTCTAAACCCTAAACCCTAAACCCTAAACCCTTAACCCCAAGCCCTAAACCCTGTAAGCCCTAAGCCCTAAACCCCTAAACCCCACAACCCCAAAACCCCTAAACCCAAAGCCCTAAGCCCGAAGCCCCTAAACCCCCAAACCATGACCAGAAGCTCAGGGCGCCGCTCCCTGATGCGGAGGCCTGGCACACAGACGCTCAGAGAATTCCCTGGGCCAGGGATCCGGCTTGAGGCCTCCTCGGGGGGTTTTTTGGGCTTGCGACCTAGGGTTTAGGGTTTAGGGTTTAGGTTTTAGGGTTTAGGTTTTAGGGTTTAGGGTTTAGGGTACAGGGTTCAGGGTTTTAGGGTGCAGGGCTCATGGGGCTTTGCCTTGGAAGGTGCGGACTTGAGGGGAATTCCTTGAACCCCTGATCTCAAGAAAACTCCTAAGGAGCTGGTCATCTCTCTCATTCGTCAGCATGCCTGCTACCAGTACCATCCCAGCATCTGAACCTTCCAAAAGCATTTCACGGGGAACTGGCAAGAGTCTGGCAAGAGGAATGTGAAAAGTTCGTGCTCATACGAATGACAAGAACGAGAAAATGATGACAACCCTGATGCTAGCAGCCCTAATCGCTTCAGGGAAAACAACATAGACCTAGTCATCATCATGTAGGCCGGGTTAATGAAAATAAAAACAGTGCTATTCAATCCTGTACTATGACTACCTTAACCCGAAAGAACCTACCTTTTTAAGGACTTATATAAAGAACTTCCAATAGCGAGCCCTAAAAAGCTAGGTTCTTCAGGGTCCAGGTATGGTTTAAACGTCCAGGTGCGTAGTTGTCAAAATTATAGTCCCTTTTGGGGTACCCTAAATAAGTTATCGCTTTTTTATATTTTTTTATGAATTTAGAGACCGAAAATAGGTGCCGTACTATAATAAGGACCCAAGAAGGGAACCATAATTTTGACAACCACCCAGGTGCCCCCAAGGCCTTCGGCGTCCCTCCGAGCGAGGTCCTCTTCATCAGCCTTGGCCTAGGACGACAAGATCGGTTGTTGACGCTTTTTTGGGGAATTCGCTGATCCCTTTTGAGTTAGGGTTTAGGGTTTAGGGTTTAGGGTTTAGGGTTTAGGGTTTAGGGTTTAGGGTTTAGGGTTTAGGGTTAGGGGGTTTTGGGGTGTGCGAAGGATTTTAGAAGGGAATGTCCACAGCAACTCGCAACTCTCAAAGCCTTGTGTTATCGAGTTTCGTAAGGGTGCAGAAGGCTTGAGGGTTTTATAGGGCTTGATAGAGGTGCCCGCAGCCGTCCTGATCAAAACTCGCAAAGCAACACTGCACCATAACATAACCCGCACGGTCTTCAACAAAATTCGAATGCACATCTGAAAACAACAACTCGCTACTGGAAACCTACTTACTTGTACTCACTGCAGATTCTTAAACCAGACAAGGTCAGACATGGCCGGGCCCTGACATGGCGAGTCTTTGCATTTCAGCGGGAAAAACCGGTGAATTCCATGAAAAACCTGGCCCTCTATCTAGGAACCCCAAAAAGGACGTAAGCATAAGCATTTTATAGGGACATCCCTACCTCATTGGGCTTCATTATATGGGGATTTATATGGGATATCCCAACCCTAAACCCTAAACC